CTTCGAAACAACCGAGGACCCAGACCTTGAAAATAAACTCCCACGGTTCACACACGTGTGGGATAACAAAGTCTATAGAGGTAGTTGACAATTTGTTCCAAAATCAGGAAGCACATATTATAGGAAGAGAGGGGTTATCGTCACCCTTCATGGTAGAAAGGGGAGTAAGACAGGGCGACCCCCTTTCACCGCTACTATATGTCCTCGCATTCGAACCTCTCTTATGTACCTTAGAAAATAGACTCAAAGGTATTCAAATAGAACAATCATTCTTCAGACTATCCGCATATGCAGATGACTTATCAGTGGGTGTGGGATCCACTGAGGATTGGGAAGCGACCTTCAAACAATATGAAGAGGCCTCGAATGCCAGTATTAATAAGAATAAAACGAAATTGATCCCGTTGACAATTATAGCAGATGGGACAAAGTTAAAGGACCAAGAGCAATTTACGAAGATTGGGGAAGGTAACACAGTACGCATACTGGGATACGAAGTCCAGGCAAATGGCCTTCCTAAAAGGGATATGTGGACGAAAATAATTAAGCAGATGGAAAAGAATCTAGAACGTCTGTCAGGAAGAAATCTAACATTCGTTGGCAAAATACTTATGGCAAATGCCCTCGTTCTCTCCAAAATCTGGTATGGGGCATATCTGGCTCCTCCTACTGGAAAACAAATAGCAACAATCAATGAGCTCCTGGCCAGGTGGATTAAAGGAAAAAGTAAAATGCTCCCACGATGGACTACATTCCAAAAGGCCCGAAAACCATGGCCTGAAAGCCCCGATAATTGGAAACATGCTAAAAGCAAGATTATGCATGGTCTGGAGAAGCCTGATAACGGGCAATTCTTTCTGGGCCATAGTGGAAAGGAAAAGGATCTCAGACTGTTTACGCGAAAGACGGGGAATTAATATAATCCAAGCTCTAAATAACAAGATCAGCTCTAAGGCGTGGCCAAGAGAATGGAAGCCGTATCTATCCGCCTGGATGAAGATAGGAGGGAAGATAAAATCACAATCAGAATGGCCTTGGAAATTAGAAGAAATTGAAGTACAAGGAAAGGAGGGCACCAAGTTATCGGTCAAAGTAATCGTTAATATTTTAAGGGATAAAACATTTAAAACAGAAGCAGAA